TTAATACCCTTCACTTGCTTTGCTTATCCCCTCACTTCCCTTCCCCTCTGGCAACCACCAGTTTGATTTCTGTAGTTATGAGTCCCTTTCTTTCTTGTTTTTTGTTATGTTTTTAACATAAGTATAATCATATGACATTTATTTTTCTCTGACCTATTTCACTTACTTTTGGTTTGCATATTTTTATGTTTTATTTTCACTGTTGGCTTGTTACTTATACTCCTTCTTTTAATCTTTTTAGTTTAGTTTTTTAAAAATATTTACCTTTTTTGAAAGAGAGAACACATGTGGGGGAGGAGTAGAGAGAGAGGAGAGAGAGAATCTCAAGCAGGTTCTGGTGCTGTCAAAGCAAAGCCTAAAACAGGCTTCGAACTCATGAACGGTGAGATTATGACCTGAGCTGGAATTCTGAGTCAGATGTTTACCAAACTGAGCCACCTGGGTGCCCCTTTAGTTTAGTTTAGTTTTTTTAAAGTAATGTTACATTGTTTCACATATGAGAACTTTATAACAATATAATTCCCACTTCTTCCTTCTGTCTTGTGCTGTCATTGTCATACATTTTACTTTCATCTTTGCTGTAAATCCACAATTCACTGCTAATGAAATTTTACTTGAGGCAATTATATACTACAGCAATTAAAAAATAGCTCCCCCCCAATCGTTTTTTTTTTTCAAAAAGTGTTTTTTTATATTTACCAGAGACCATTTTGATACTATCCTTGGGGGCTCTGTTCTGTTTTTTTCTTTTATTTTCCCATTTTCCTAGATCATTTCCTAGGTCTCTGCCCCTCCCCTGCTCTTATGGTTTTCATCTCTCTGCTGAAATTTCACTTGTTTCTGCATGCTGTCCAACTTTTCCATTAGAGCATTTAATGTATTAATCATAGTTATTTTATATTTTATTTATGTTTCGAGAGAGAGGGAGAGTGTGTGTGCACACGAGCAGGGGAGGGGCAGAGGGAGAGGGAAAGAGAATCTTTTATTTTAAGTTTATTTTTTTTTTATTTATTTCTGAGAGAGAGAGAGACAGCATGAGCAGGGGAGGGTCAAAGAGAGAGGGAGACACAGAATCCCAAGCAGGCTCCAGGCTCTGAGCTAGCTGCCAGCAAAGAGCCTGACATGGGGCTCAAACCCACGAACCATGAGATCATGACCTGAGCCGAAGCTGGACGTTAATAGACTGAGCCACCCAGGTGCCCCATTTTTTTTTTTTTTTGAGAGAGAGAAAAAGAGAGTACACACTTACAAGCGCATACAAGCAGGGGAGGGGCAGAGACCTAGGTGGGACTCCAGATCACAAACTGTTGAGATCATGACCCCAGCCAAGATCAAAAGTCAGAGGAAGTTGGATGTTTAACCGACTGCACACCTATGTGCCCCAAGGGAGAGAGAGAATCTTAAGCAGGCCCCATGCCCTGCACCGAGCCTGACAAGGGGCTCAGTCTCACGACTGATATATGACTAGAGCTGAAATCAAGAGTTAGATGCTTCAAAGACTGAGTCTTCCAGGGGCCCCAATAAACAGTTGTTTATTTATTTATTTTTCTAATTTAGCTCTCTTTTATTTATTTTTCAGGAGTAGAATTCAGTGATTCATCACTTATATGCAACACCTAGTGCTCATCGTAACAAGTGCCCTCCTAATACCCATCATCCATCTAGCCCATCTCCTACCCCCTTCCCTCCATTAGCCCTGAGTTGGGTTTGGGTTTTGTTGTGGTGGTGGTTACCTTAGGTGCACACATGGCTTTAAATTCCTCTGGTGTTTCCTTGGGTTTAGGATTGGTTTGCTGGAGGGAGGGGTTTTCTTCAATGTTTATGTTTCCCCCTCAGCTTTTGGTCTTTTTGTTATTGTTGCTGGGTGCTTGCATACCTGGTGGTGGGGAGTAGGGATCTCCGTTGTCTTGGTTCAGCCTCAGTCTTAGGCACGCCCTGTTTTTCTGGACCTGAGTGGCAGGCAGAGGGGAGGGGGGTGTGGATCTTTCTGGTGATCTTGCTCTTGCCCCAAAGGTAGGATACCTTTAATGGTCTGCATCAGAATTTCCTGCCTTACCCCCAGTAATAAAGGGTTGTTTTATTTTCCTTTCAACTCTGCCCCAGCTACTTTGGGAGTGGCAGAGCTTTGCCACCCTTTCCCCAGCAGTGAAAGATTTTTATTCTTTAGAGAGGGCACCAGGTGGACCTTTGTATTTTCCTGGAATAGCGATTGCTTCCCTTCTCCAGACTAGCGCTACAGAGGGGCTCTCTCAGGCCTCCTGCCTAGTATTTTTTATGAGCATCCAATCCACTGAGATCTGTGGAGAAAAAAACCTCTGAGTGTCTGTTAGTTAGTTAGTTGCTAACTAACACACACTAGACCATTATTATTGTTTTTTTTTTAAGTTTTACTTATTTATTTTGAGACAGAGGGAGAGAGAGAGAGAGAGAGAGGTAAAGGGACAGAGAAAGAGAGAGGGAGAGAGAGAATCCCAAGCAGGCTCAGCACTGTCAGTACAGGTAGGGCTTGAATTCCCAAACTGTGAGATCATGACCTGAGCCAAAATCCAGAGTCGGACACTTAAACTGACTGAGCCACCCAGGCGCCCCTAATCCATGATAGACCTTTATTTTTTTTTAAATTTTTAAAATGTTTTATTTATTTCTGAGAGAGAGAGAGAGAGAGACAGCATGAACAGTGGAGGGTCAAAGAGAGAGGGAGACACAGAATCTGAAACAGGCTCCAGAATCTGAGCTGTCAGCACAGATCCCGACACGGGGCTCGAACCCATGAACCGTGAGATCATGACCTGAACCGAAGTCAGACGCTTAACCGACTGAGCCACCCAGGTGCCCCAAGACCTTTAATAATTCATTAAAAATTGTACCTGAATTCTTCTTACGTGCCTGTATATTGGTCCCCTCATACAGATGCAGAGATGAGCCAGAGCTTACATCTCTCCATGGATATGCCTGTTTTTCCTTAAATTTCAGTCTGCTTGGTTGCCCTGTAACCTCAGCTCTCTGGTGTCTTTAAGACAAGTCACAGTTTTTGATGTGGGAAACAAAGCCAAGGAACTGTAGATAAAATTAAATATATAACCCACTGCCCATTGGCTGATACTTGAGATAGGCTGAGTATGACATTCTTTCAGGAACTCCTGACTGTCTGAATGTTAATACTTTGCTAGAGGGAAAAACACAATAGCTAGGCCCTCAAGATCCTGTATGTCTTTAGCATGTGAAAGTCTGGAAACTTCCCGGAAACTTTACCTTCCCAAGTATAAGATCCATTCCTCCTTACAAGCCCCGTGTGACTCTTTCTGTCCAAAGGTCCTGTCCCTGTACTTTAATGAAACTACCTATTTGTACAGAAGACATCTCAAGAATTCTTTCTTAGCCCTCAGCTCCAAACCCCAGCACTCCAAACCATATCAGTTATGTAGATTGTTTGGCTTTTTCTTGTCATTGGAGGGGGAGTGATGCTTTCCCCAGCTTTCTACCTCATAAATGGAAGTTGGAAGTCAAGGTAATTCCATTTTATACTAATTTTATTTTCCAGTGAAACGAGTGTACCTCTCTTTTTCTTTCTCTATGATAATGTGATTAAAAATGTATTTGGTCTTCATCCACTGTTTCTAGACACAGTTCCTATAATTTCCTATATAAGAGCCATCGGGGCATTTTTTGTTATGCTACTTGTGTTTGTTCTCAATTCCTGAATTAGCTCAAGGGCAATAAAAGTGGAATAGATGTCTTTTGTTATTTATACAATCCCCTTTCACCCATACCTCTGAGTTTATGTTAATGAAGTGATTTTTGGAAAACATCTTGGTCTCCTAAGGATGGAGGTTTGTTGCTAGAGGAGCCAGCCCTGTGATTAGGAGATTGGTACCTTCGGTGTAGTCTGACCTCTGGGGAGGGGCGAGGGGCTGGAGATTGAGCCAATCTCTAATGACCAGTGATTTTATCAGTTATGCCTTTGTAATGAAGCCTCCATAAAAATACCAACAGGAGAGTGTTTGGAGAGCTTCCTGGCTGGTGAACAGGTAGAGGTGTGGGGTGAGTGGCTGGCCCAGAGAGAGCATGGAGAGTCCACACCCCTTCCCATGTACCTTACCCTAAGCATCTTTTCCATCTGGCTGTTCCTGAGTTATATCCTTTTCTTCTTCCTTTTTTTTTTTTTTTAAATTTAAGTTTATTTTTGAGGGGGAGAGAGAGAACATGAGTGGGGAAGGAGCAGAGAGAGAGGGAGATGCAGAATCTGAAGCAGGCTCCAGGCTCTGAAATGTCAGCAGAGAGCCCTAGAGCCCTATGCAGGGTTGGGACTCACAAGCTGTGAGGTCATGACCTGAGCTGAAGTCGAGCCGCTTAGCTGCTTAACCGACAGCCATTCAGATGCCCCCCTGAATTATATCCTTTTATAATAAACTGGTAATCTAGCAAGTAAACTCTTTTCTGTGAGCCATGCGAGCAAATTAATTGAACCCGAGGAGGGGGCAGAGGGACCCTCCAGTTTATAGCCAGGCAGTTGGAAGTCCTGGTAACAACCCAGACCTGCATTTGGCACCGGAAGAGGGGAAGTTTTGTGGGACTGAGCTCTTAACCTGTGAGATCTCCAGGTAGGTCCAGGATTGAGTTAAGTGTTGCAAAATTGCTTGACGTGTAGAAAACCATACATCTGAAGTTCAAAAAAGTATATGTGAGAGCAGCCTCTTGTCCCCGGCTAGCTAGGGTCTGATGAAATAGGAGAGATGCTGGAATGGTCACTGGGACCAGGGACCAGATTTCTCTGCTTGCCTCTGGGTTGAGTTGGGTGGAAAAAGGCAATCTAGATCTCTCTGCACCTGACTTATGTGAGAATATAGGCTCCTCTGCTATTTCCAAGTTTATGTTCATAGTTGCTTTGGCTCACCTGATAGACACGTGAGAACAAGTATGTTGCCACGTGTCTGTGCCTGCATGGGGAAGCCTGCCTGGCCTGGTGCCAGGAGTGAAAGGAAGCAAGGTGCTGCCTTAAAGCCAGTTCTTATCTAAGCAGAGGTAGGCTGCCTCCGCTCTGGGAGTGAGAGAAGTCTTGATAGTGCCCCAGAGGAGCTTTATCACTTGGTCTCCAATCCAGACTCTGGAAGGGGACTGGAACGGGTAAGGCAGGAGTTTTGGATGGAGCTGTGGAGACTGGAGTTTTTCCTGAGAACTACTTACTCTTGAGTGGCTGTGGTTCCCTTACTCTGAGCTCCATGAGGTAAGGTTCTGGCATCTTCATCTTTGTTGAGTAGATGAGAGGCTTCTGGGAAGATGATGTACTGATCTCTTTCTTACCCCTGGAAAATTATGACCTTAAAAGACTGACCTTAAAAGACTGACTCCTGGGTGGGAATCAAATGGCTTACAGGATTCCTTTTTCCAGAACATGAGGTAGGAATAAATAGGTGATCTAAATTCGTGATTCCCTCAATCCCACAGGAATTGCAGGAGGGAGAAGGCCATACTAAGTGCAAGATCAGGAAGGTTCTTGTCTTCCTCTGACAGATTCTGCGTTCTTCATATGAAGATTGGTGTGAAATCTAACCTCCTTGAGGTTTCTGGACTGGCCCAACTCTAAACCAAAAGTAGTAGTAGTGTCTGTGAGTGCCACCTCCCTACAGGAGGCTTCCTAGTGTCAGTTCTGTGGGTAAGAAAAGCCATGGAGCTCTGACGGGGTGCCCAAATTCCTGGGTCCTATTTTCGGAGACTCTCTTTGCAACCCCACATGGTAGTGAGGCCCATGGTAAAAAGGAAAACAAATTAACTGATAGCAGTTGAGCCCCAGGTTAGGGTGTTCTCTGTATGTTCTTTCTCCATCTGGTCTTGTTACCTCTTTTTTTCTGGGCACTTTGGAAGAAGAGCTGTGTCGAATGGGCAAGCAGCAATGAGGGAAGTAAGGAAGTTGTGGACTTACAACACACAGGCGTGTATTTTCGTGAAGATTGTCCCCTTGGTCTAGTCTTTGTAATGGCCCTGGTCTTAACATCTTCCTAGTCCTTCCCACCGCCCTCTCATATTCTTTCATATTTTTTTGCTGGGCTGAGAGTAGCTACAGACTTCTCTGCATGTGGCTGGAAGTTCTGTTTATGTTTGGATGGAGGTGAGTGGGTGTGGGCAGTGAGAGACCGATTAGGCTGGCTAGGACTGTGAACTTGGTACTGGGAGTCTGGTGTCTGCAGGGCATGTTTGCAGGTGGTTGTTGTTGTTGTTATTTGTTTTTATTTTTTAAATTTATTTATTTATTTTGAGAGAGAAAGAGAGAGAATCCCAGGCAGGCTCTGCACTGTTAGTGTAGAGTTTGAGAGCCCAGTGTGGGGCTTGAACTGACAAGCTGTGGATCATGACCTGAGCCAAAATCAAGAGTTGGACGCTTAACCGACTCCCTGGTGTGTAGGTTTTAAACTGACCAGCCTGGGCTCCGTAGCTCAGGGGTTAGAGCCTGGTCTCGTAAACTGACCAGACTAAAACCTACACCTCAGGGAGAATCCGTGTTATGGCTAAACCTAATGGCAACCTAATGCCTGGGTGTTAGGCCAGGTACCTCTTGTTGGAAGTTGCCATCGGCTGGACCCTATCATGGTTATCTTTCTTGGGAGCACTAGATGTCTGCCTACCTCCATTTATTTCCCTGTGTCCTGTGGTGGAAACTGATACAAGCTCATTGTATTTAGATCTGTATGCGAGGCATGTCATTCCTACATAAGAAGTTGGCTTTGTAGGTCTCTAACCCAGAGACTCATCAGCTCCTGCCCTAGACTAACACACTTTTTTTCTTTGCCAGGCCACAGGAAACACACGTGTGAAGGAGACATTTGCCATGGAAGCCAGGGAGCTGGAGAGCCCCACGCCAACCTACCGTCTCATTCCTGAGGCCAGCCAGCCCAGGGAGAAAGATGTCAGCATGCAACCTCAACAGACTGCAGAAACTATGCAGCTGAAAAAGGAGATCTCTTTGTTAAACGGGGTCAGCCTGGTGGTGGGCAACATGATTGGCTCAGGAATCTTTGTCTCACCCAAGGGTGTGCTGGTATACACTGCCTCCTATGGGTTGTCACTAGTCATATGGGCCATTGGTGGGCTTTTCTCTGTTGTTGGAGCCCTTTGCTATGCGGAGCTGGGGACTACCATCACCAAGTCTGGGGCCAGCTATGCTTATATTCTAGAAGCTTTTGGGAGCTTCATTGCCTTCATCCGCCTGTGGGCCTCCTTGCTAATTGTTGAGCCCACCAGTCAGGCCATCATTGCCATCACCTTCGCCAACTACATCATCCAGCCCTCGTTCCCCACCTGTGATCCCCCGTACCTGGCCTGCCGTCTCCTCGCTGCTGCTTGCATATGTAAGTCTGGGGTTTAGTGGGAGAGTGTGTTTGAGGATGTGGGTTCCTTTAATAATATTAATGGTACTTCATATTTGAACAGCATATTTTGCTTTTTGGGAGGAAGAGACGCATCTTACCTTTTGAAGAAATAATTCACCAAAGCCTTTAACCCTGAGAGATAAGTAAGGGTAAGGGACCAAGATGAGAGAAATTTGAGTCTGTTTGTGGCTTTTGGTGCCTCACATTCCTTTGACTCTTGACTGTTACAGAGTTCTGTGCCATAGTCTTTGTGACAGGTTGGTGCATGTCTTATTTTTGTCTTGTCAGATGTTTTGATTGGAGTCAATAGCACTACTTGTGGCTTAACCCAGAAAAATCCCTCAGTGCTGAGGACCTTATTTTGCTTTTCAGAAACAAATTATGTTGCTTCCCAGCTTTTTATCTTAATCCAGTTAAAAAAAGAAAAGAAAGCAAACCAGTTTAGATGCTGAGAAAAGAGCTTCTCTATATTGGGGGAGGGGGCGGGGGTCCCAAGGTGTTATCCGTCAGGCCTACAGGACCACTGCTCCCTGCCACTTCCACTCTTTGCAGCCCATTCTAAGCAGCAGGCACCACACCAAAATGGCTTTTCCCATTGGTGTTTCAGATTTCTTTACACTGACTTTGTAAACAAGCTCTGCTTGTGGCCAGTGACAGGAAAGTGGCTTCTATCCCATATTTGGGTTTCTGAGTACAGAACTTGAGAGATCCCAGTTGATCCCTCTTTATTTTCCTTTTTCTCTCACGAGGTGGTAAAGAGGGATTCTCTGTGAAGTCACTGAAAAGGAAAGAAGATTGCTGTGAATTTACGCAGTCTTGTAGAGCTAGTGTTTTAACTGAGAAGTAGCCCAGAATTCCCTGTGTTCCTTAGGCACTGTGCTGCCAGAAGCACTTAATTATACTCTGTCCTTTCCATATCTCTGCTTGCAAAAGCTTTGGCAGTATGTGTAGTTTATCCACAGTGTTAAAAATAGACCGAGAGTACCTTGGAGTTAGCAATAAAGGATCGTACTGTACACTGTGCCTCCTGACTTTAAGGAATTTGTTAGAGACAAATGTTAAAGGGAACCACTCCACATAGAGCCCCAGGAAGAGGGAGAGTGGGTAGTCAGCTATATTGTATGTCTGGTAGGATCTGGCCAGAGGAACTCTGCCGGACTGTGTTGTCTAGAAAAAGAATAATTTTCTGGGGCACCTGGATGGCTCAGTCAGTTAAGCATCTGACTTCAGGTCAGGTCATGATCTCACATCAGGCATCAGGCCGAGAGAGCCTGCTTCAGGTCCTCTCTCCCTCCTACCCTCTCTGTGCCCCGTCCCTGCTCACAGTCTCTCTCAAAAATAAACATTAAAAAAAGACGAAGAGGGGCGCCTGGGTGGCTTAGTCGGTTAAGCGTCCGACTTTCGCTTAGGTCATGATCTCGCGGTTTGTGGGTTCGAGCCCCGCGTCGGGCTCTGTGCTGACTGCCAGCTCAGAGCCTGGAGCCTGTTTCAGTCTGTGACTCCCTCTTTCTCTGACCCTCCCCTGCTCATGCTGTCTCTCTCTCTCTCTCTCTCCTAGAAATAAATAAAACACTTAAAAAAAAAAAAAAGACGAAGAATTTTCTGATTATAAAATGTGTTAGGGGGCACCAGGTGGCTCAGTCGGTTAAGCGTCCGACTTCGGCTCAGGTCATGACCTCGCAATCTGTGAGTTGGAGCTCCGCGTCGGGCTCTGTGCTAACAGCTCAGAGACGGAAGCCTGCTTTCGATTCTGTGTCTCCCTCTCTCTGCCCCGCCCCCACTCACGCTCTGTCTCTCTCTGTCTCTCAAAAGTGAATAAACATTAAAAAAATTTTGGGGGCGCCTGGGTGGCTCAGTCTGTTAAGCGTTCGACTTCGGCTCAGGTCATGATCTCACACTTTGTGGGTTCGAGTCCCACGTTGGGCTCTGTGCTGACAGCTAGCTCAGAGCCTGAAGCCTGTTTCAGATCCTGTGTCTCCCTCTATCTCTGACCCTCCCCTGCTCATGCTGTCTCTCTCTCTCTCTCTCAGAAATAAATAAAACATTAAAAAAAATTTTTTTTTAATTTTTTAAAAAAATAAATAAAATGTGTTAAGGGTGGCTAGGTGGCTCAGTTGGTTAACTCTCTGGCTCTTGATTTTGTCTCAGGTCATGATCTCATGAGTTTGTGAGATTGAGCCCCTCATTGGGCTTTGCACTGACAGCGTGGAGCCCACTTGGGATCCTCTCTCCCTCTCTCTCTGCACCTCCCCCTCTCTCAAAATAAATAAACATCAAAAAATAAAATAAAATAAAATGTATTCATTAAAGAGAAAATTGCAAATCACCCATAATCTACCACCAGAAGATGAGCACTTTTAATAATTAAATCATGTCCTCTTTTCTTTCTTTTTTTTTTTTTTTTAATTTTTTTTTTAATTTTTTTTTTTTTTCTAGGAGAGAGAGACAGCGTGAGCAGGGGAGGGTCAGAGAGAGAGGGAGTCACAGACTGAAACAGGCTCCAGGCTCTGAGCTGGCAGTCAGCACAGAGCCAGACGCGGGGCTCGAACCCACGAACCGCGAGATCATGACCTAAGCGAAAGTCGGACGCTTAACCGACTAAGCCACCCAGGCGCCCCTCTTTTCTTTCTTTTATAGAATTGGTATCATACTTGCATATAACTTTATATTCTGCATTTTAAATTTAGCATACCATGTTTTTTTTTGTCTTGTGAAATGTTCTTCAAAAGAAACATTTTAAAAGTAGTATGTCTTTATTATTATTATTATTATTAAAAGGTAATATGTAGATGTTATAAGCCCTTCGAAAATGCAAAGAAAAATCACCTATAATTTTAACTCCCAGAGAACAATTGCTACTATTTATGTGAAATACTTTCTACTATTTTTTTTTTCTGTGCTTATCTAATTTTTTACAAGTACTCTTGAGATCATACTCTTTGTGATTTGTATAATACTTTAAAATTTTTAGTATTTAGTCCCTTTCATGAGATATTCTTTAAAAACATGGTTTAGGGGCTCCTTGGTGGCTCAGTCGGTTAAGCCTCTGACTTCGGCTCAGGTCATGATCTCACAGTTCATGGGTTTGAGCCCTGCGTCGGGCTATGTGCTGACAGCTAGCTCAGAGCCTGGAGCCTGTTTCAGATTCTGTTGTCTCCCTGTCTCTCTGACCCTCCCCTGCTCACGCTATATCTGTCTCTCTCTCAAAAATAAATAAAACATTAAAAAATTTTTTAAAAACATGGTTTAGGAACCATAAGTAGTTTCCTGGCAGTGTGATATAGTGGTTAAGATCATAGGCTCCCATGCCAGACTGGGATTGATTCCAGCTTTACCAGCTGTTTTTCCAGCTGTTAACCCTGGAGTAGTTAGTTAATTGTTGCCTTGGTCCTCGCATTTGTAAAATGGAAATATCAATTGTACCTACAGAAAAGACGGTTGTGGGGAGTAAATGAATCAATACATGTATAGTACTTCTCTGTATCTGGCATATAGTAAGTGTTCTGTAATATCATTATAAATAATACTGCTGTGGGAATCTTTGTATATACAGTTTCAGAGTTTCTGCATCATTTTTTAGGGTAGAATTACACAAGAGAAATACTTGGGTCTATCTAAAGAAATAAACTGTTTTAAGATTCTTCATGTGTTACCCAATTTTCTTCTAGGAGGTTTTGTGAGTTTCTGCTCTTTCCTAACCAATTGAGAGTGCCTGTGCATTGGTGTTGTGATGGCCTTAGGGTGAATTCCAAGAATAACTAAGTCAAAGGACACCTCTATATATAATTTTTCATGTACAAAAGATTTTTATTTGCTAAATCTTTTTCACTTTATGATTTTCCCCAATGTTTTTGTGCTTAGGAAGCCCAGCCCCAACCCAAGAACTGCTCTTTTGATTGGAGAAGAGACCTCATCTCTTAGAAGTACATCCATGGCATCTGTAGCTGCTTTTATTCAAGTGTACTTTTACCCAGATTACTCAGGATCAGAATTCCTTCAAGCCCCTATCCTAGAAGCTCAGGCTTTTCCACAATGCATGCCTGTAGGCAGGAACTTGTCAGAGATGGGCCTAAGACATAAAACCATGTCACATCCTGACAGGACTTTGGAGTTCAGTTTGCTCCTCTTCTTGGAACCTAGGGTGTAGAATCAGGCTGATGCATCATCTAACAAAGCTGGAATTTGCTGAAGGGAGTCTCTTTGGGCAGGGGTGGCAGTGAGAACAGCATGGTCTTAAGAGACAAAAATTTGGAAGAAACCAATTAGATCATAATTATGGGTGAAAACCCCAAAAGTCTGCACTTGCCACCATGGTGAAATTTAGGTGAGGTAGGAGAATTAAGTTAGTCTGAAAGTGAGATATCAGAAGGGCCCAGGTTGTTGTTTGGGAGACCGTCTACAGAAATTAAAACCATGCCAAGCTAGACAATTAAAGTTCCATTCTAAAAGAAAAGGCCCAGATAGTCTCCATCTAACCACTCCAGGTCAGAGCTGTAAGCTCATGCCCTATGGGTCAGACTTGACCCACAGATATATTTGTTTGGCCTAGTGTTGTAAGCAATTTTGAATTGCCAATATTTGAAAATCAGGACTGGACCTTTCTGTTGAAAACTCAAAAGTTCTGGCAGCCTTGGACCCACATTCCTTACTGACACAATCAGCTGCCTTTGAGTAGTGGTTGCTCCCTTTTATTTTTTTATTTTTTAATTTTTTAAATGTTTTTTATTTATTTCTAGGAGAGAGAGAGACAGCATGAACAGGGGAGGGTCAGAGAGAGAGGGAGACACAGACTCTGAAATAGGCTCCAGGCTCCGAGCTGGCAGTCAGCACAGAGCCCGACGCGGGGCTCGAACTCACGAACCGCGAGATCATGACCCAAGCGAAAGTCGGAAGCTTAACCGACTAAGCCACCCAGGCGCCCCGGTTGCTCCCTTTTAAAGGAGCACACAATCTTTAGTCCGCTACAGCCCTCCACTCCC